AAGTATTCTTTCACCAAACCACTTCTGGCTCAACACAAGTGTTCTTTGATTGGTCTCTTTAAGCCACTTCCCAGGTATTCTTTTTACAAATAAGCCTCTCCAAGTTCAATATCAAGTATTCTTTTTCAGACAAGCCTCTTCGGGCTTTACCCTATAACAATGGTTATAAAGGTATTACAAGGTTGTTGTTACCGTCTTTATTAGATGTGATTACAATGAAAGTTTAAGAGCAAGAAATCTTTTGAAAATATTATGTTTTGATATATATATATATATATATATTATATTTAAAATTAATATATAGAGAGGAGGGATTCTTTACTCTAGGAGTAAGTCTATCTAAACTTATTTCATTCAATAACTCATGTTCTACATCAAATTTCAACGATCCAACCATTCAATTTAAAATTCTTAATGGATAGATCAAGATTGAAATTTTTAGAAAATTTGAAAATCATTTGATATTTTGTTTCATTAATTCAAATTGATGGATAATCATAAAATCATTTTGCACATTAATTCGGATTATTGAAACAAAGTATCAAATAGTTCTCAAGTTTTTTAAAAATTTACAGATTTGATTAAGAACTTTAAATTGAACTGTTGGATCGTTGAAATTTGATGTAGAAACACTCACACGCCACTATTAATAAAAACAATTTCAAAAATTAAAAATAAAAATTGATACGAGTTTGAGGATTATAAATATAATTTTTTTTCTTTTTCTTGATCAAATTCAAATACATGATAAAGCCTGTGAAGAATATTATTTTGTCAATAACAATCATTAATTTTATTCCGTAACTCTCACTACAAATGCCTAATCTATATGAATATGGACAAAAAATAATTATATTAGTAGAAATTTTCAACCCTAAACAATTATATAAAATAAAATTCAAATGAAATTTTTATAATATGTATGTGTGTGTATATATATATTATATAAATTAATATATAAATTACAGTGGACAGTATTATATAAATTAATGCTATATAATATATATTGTTATACAAGAAATGTTACATATAATGACATACAAAAAGTGTCATTATAGGTACAATATATGTAAGTATATGTCTATTTGACATATAGTTACACACAATTTTAGTGTTGATTTTGAATGAGATTTAACAACATATTTTGTGTGTCACTATAACCTATACCCACACTTTTTAATAATATACCAACATATATTATAGTTATTGTGTGGGTAAATTAAAAGTAATTTTTAGTGACATGTATAGTGTCACTATAGGGTGTGTGTCATTATATGACAATTTTATTGTAGTAATAGTATATGTTACTTATTTTTTTAATAAGAATAATAATATTAACGATATTTATAATATAATAAAGTATATAATTATTGCGTAGAGAGATAAAATATGAGATGAGAGCTTTTTTTATAATGTTGTTTTCTAACTCTAACTATCATTTTAAGATAAATAATACACTAGATCAATAGAATAAGATAAAGTATGCGATGAGACTATCATATTCTATTGGTGTAATAAATTTAAGATTATAAGAGCATCTCCAATAGTGGTTGTTTATAAGCAACCCCCATTGCAGATGCTCTAATATGTTAAAATAATTATTATATCCTATCTTACCATATCGTGACTATAAAACAAACCTTAATTTTTACCTTATTTTATAAATTTACAACTAATATACATTAATTGTAGAGTAAAAATTAAAAGTAATATAATAAAAAACTTCAAAATTATTTTATGAAAAAAGAAAAACAAATTATTGCATTTATTGATTTGCGTATAAAAACCTATTTTTTAGGATTTCCTTATTCAAGAAACATAGGATTACAATTTATCTTATTATTCTTATCTTATTTCTCCGCCCCGCCCCCTTATTTTAGATGTGATTCTTTCGTTTGTTTAATCATTCCTCTATATCTGATAACAAAAAATGTTTTAAAAAATATAATCTAAATTGACTATCATTAGGTAATTAACAATGATAATTTTGAAAAGAATATAATGCATCAAATTAAAAAATTAAATAAATTATAAGTTTAGTCGACATAATATAATTAACTCTTCCATAATATCAATTCTTCTTATATTATATATCCATCATAAACAAGGAAAGGTTGTCCCGGCCAGATTTTAGGCTAATTACCATATTCTAACCATAATCTTCGTTGACGTTGGTGTTTTTATTTAACCATGCACGGAGGCAAGTCTTTTTCCTAATCTCTCTATATATATATTAATATTAACAATAAACAAAGTGATAAACCTTTTTCGTGCACACAATTTTTGATCATTTTTTTTATAATCACTTATTACCTATTCACAAATTTCATTTTTTAAACTTCTCTCACTTCATAAGTAATTACCCCCATATTTTTAATAATCATCAATTATCATATAATTTTCTTATTATTTACTAGTAGGGAAACGATACTTCGTATATATTAATTTTTTAAAAATTAAAATAAAATAAAAATAAATAATGAAGTGAGTTGTTATTGATAGATTATAGGGAAGTAGATATTTTTTTGAAAGATTGAGAAAATTTACTGTGAGAAAAAACTCTTGATTTTCTTATTTTTTCTCATAAATTAAAGGATATATGGATCCAACTGAAGGTAAAAACCAAAATTGATTATAAAAAAAGTATCTTCTGTATACATTATTTATAAAAGCAATTCATGGAGATACATATTTTTTGTACGTTAGAGCATCTGCAATGCTTATAAGCAACCCCTGTGGCACATCACTGCCAAATTAGCTCTGGCTCACTTTATGGGTTGCTTAAATTTTAGCAGAGTTGCTTCTACAAGCAATTCTGCTAAAATTTAAGCAACCCATAAAGTGGGCCAGAGTTGATGTGGCAGTGATGTGGCACAGAGGGTTGCTTATAAGCAATTCCCATTGCAGATGCTCTAAATAAAAAAAGTATCTTCTGTATGACCATAATTTTTTATATTTTAAATTTTTTTTCCTAATTTTATTTTATCCTTTTCACATTTCAATACCAAGAATTTAAAATTCCTTGAATTTATAAAATTTCTCGTCCAAACACACCATTATAGTATAGATACACTCATGAAAACTTTTATAACTCCAACCACCATTAATTTTTGAAATAGATTTAATTTTTTAATTTAATTCAACCAATAACCATGTGGGATAGATTTCAATAAAACTTTGCATTCTTCATCACTATAAAATTGTAAGTTACCCTTGTACCTATGAGGAAGAACCCTAATCATTTTCCCACCTTTCCTGAGTAAGCTCAGTGCAAACTCACAAAAGCTGTGTAATTTAATCTTTTTTGGGTTCTTAATAAGAGCTTTGTATTTATGTTGTTAAAAAAACTAAATAAATAAACGCTTTGTACGTACTTCAAAGTTACTTTTGTTCTTTTTGAAGAATGAGTTAATTAAATTAATCAAATGATAAAAAAAGGTATATTAAATTGTGACAACTCAAATGTCACAATATAAATTACAGGATTAATAAAATATCACATTTTCGACGTAAGATTAAAAAAAATGCATCTCAAATAGAGAGTTCTCTTAGTTAACTCCTTTTTGGGTTTCTTCTATTGGTTTAAGGTTTGGAAATTAATGCAATTAGATTTTAAAGGTTTAAACTTTGGCCAGAATGATATGGTCATATATATATTTCATTCACAATATTTTTAAATGATACAATAATGGTTGGAGAGACTTAAGAAGGAATTTTGCGACTTATACATAAGGCTAAACTGAGGAGTTTTGAAACTCAAAATGATTTGGATTTGCAAAAATCATTATGTACAATATATTTAAAATTGAACAAGTTATACAAGAAAAATCGATTTTAGAGATCAAATTTCGTCATTGGTTATTATGGATGCTATTAGCAACTAATTAATAAATATTTTGACTACAATAAAAAAACTACTAAATTAAACTGTCAGAACACCACCGTGCATGTATATATATATATATATTATTTTATTTTATTTTTTTTAATTTTCTGGTTTGATAGGTTTATACAACCTTCCACTCCTCAAATTTTTTTTAATATCCATCATACAAGAAAAAGATGCATATATTTGGTACAGACGTGACCTGTGCAGCTGCATTACAGTTTTTGTTATATATAAAGAAAAAAAAAGTACCCCACCTTGCTTAGTTTCATAGGTTTGTAAAGTCTCCTATATTCCTCCATTTGATACAATCAAAGGCACCTAAATTTGGTATAGATGTGATATGTGAAGCTAAGCATTATATGTTCATTAGATGCGCCATTAGAGTTTTAGTTAAAAAATCTCACTCTATAATCTTACCATACATGCCCCCACTTTATTCTTTTATGATAGCCTTATACAAGCTTCTCCCTATTACATTTCCTCTTCCATCTTACCTTTCTCCTCTTGCAACAAAACTTGGTATAAATGCATTGCCCCCTTCACAACCCTTTCTAGCTCTTGTATTATTTATGACATGTGTAGGTTTCAGGTAAAGAAAATTTACATTCCCTTTATTATTATTACTTTTATATTTTTATTCAAGTGACTTTTTTATTTTTTATATCAATATTCATGTACTAATCTTTTTTAATCTCACATGTTAACTTAGCAATCAGGATCCTTACTTTTACGCATTATAAAAATGATTTATTTAATAAAAAATATATATTTAATTTTTATCATATATAAAAACACATCAAATCAAGAACAATCATAATACCATAAATGAGATTAATCTTTATTATAATAAGTTAAAAAAAATACTATGACAAGAAAAATATATTGTTTTTTTTTTATGATTTAAAGAGATAATTTTTTTGTATAAATATTTTTCACATTCAAAACACATGGAAATAAAAAATTCAATTACATACTAATCATTTAAACCCCATTTTTTCTCACTAACACAACACAAAAAAGTAAGAGAGAATAACTAAAATTAACCACCACTTGCACACAATGGTGTCCACATAATCCTAAAGACTTGTCCATAAACATAGGACCTACCTAAAATTAACTTGAAAAAACCATGTCCTAGTTCCTAATCTCAAGGTCAAACACTCACCCCACGTTTCTCTCTCCTCACACACACACTCTCTCTCTCTAACCCAACACGGTTTTGACTCAGAAAACAAAAGGTTTTCATATTTTTCTTTCCTTTTAATTTTTTCATAATTTTCCGGAAATAGAAAACATATTTTTCTCTCTCATTGTGTCTCCCTCTCTCGCTCTCTCTCTGTCTCTCTCCGTTCTTGATCCATGGAAGGGGAACTTGGCACCCACAAGGCAGAAGAAGAAAGTTGATTCCTTTGGGCGAGAGTCGGACACCCATTTGGCTGAAAACTCCAATGCGGTCTTCGAGAAGAGCCTCGAACGATCGTGGATCTGATGGTGGGTTTTGCGGGGACATGGGTGATGAAGATGGCTTCGGTTTCAGTTTCAGTTTCAGGTGCAGGAACAAGAGTTGGTAGGGTTGTTGTGGGGGGCAACGATCCGGTGGTGGTGCGGCAGCATAGACGACGATGCAGCTTCACTTCTCGCCTAGCATGAGAAGCATCACGATATCGAGCAACAATGGGTTTATTGACTTGATGAAGATCAAGGTCGCAGCTTGCCACATTTCCTATCGAACCCTCTTCCACACCATCCTCATCCTCGCTTTCTTGTTGCCCTTTGTCTTCATTCTCACTGCTCTTGTTACCCTTGAAGGTGTCAACAAGTGCTCCTCATTTGGTACACAATTTCCCAATCCTTCATTTGTTTTTATCATCATTCCATTATTTTTTTATTCGTTTGGTTACGTTGTGTATGTATATTTGTATTTGTCTTTAGTTTAATTAGATGACCTTGTGTTGTGTGATCCATGTAGCCCACCTTCAGTATTAGTCCTTGGTTTTCAGTTTTTCCATACAATGAATGACATGGAGATGGTCAAAAAAAAAATTTGATGTTGTGTTGTGTGATCCATGTAGCCGACCTCACCTGATAGGATATTTGATCATAAGGCCATTATAGTTATTCATTTGGTTACATTGTGTATATATTTGTATTTGGAACTCAATTGAACCTAATGGTATCATGCAATCCATGTAGCTGAGCTTTCCTGGTGGGATAAATGATACGGCTTTTGCTGTTGTCGCTGATGTGTGTGGATTTTGGATGAATTGGATTGGCATTTGTTTGTTTGTTTGTTTGTTATCTTTTGTGCTAGGATGGATCTTCATTTGGATGTTGGGGTTAAAAACTTTGTTCATGTGTTAGGGGGGGCGGCCCGGGCGGGGGGCCGGAATTGTTTTGTTGCACTCATAGATTTTTCCCTTTATGGTTGTCAAAGTGTTTTTTTCCTTTTCTAGCTAAGCTAGTTTTTCCTGCATTTCAAGATCTCAAGTGTGACTGGGAAGTTAAGTGTTTCATGATCATTTGCATAGTTTGGTTATGCTTGAACTCTGGATTAGTGATGATGATGATAATAATAATGATGATGATGATGATTATTTTCTGAAATTAATTCATTTCTGACATTCTTTCCCATAACAAATTGTTACATGCTTTGCATTTTAAAACTGGAAAACTATTATGTTTTAATAAGATATATTAGTTAAATCCCGGCTAGTGTTTGTGTTCTTTGAGCCCCCTGTCTTTATGAAGCTCGGTTATGCTTTACCAATTCTTTTTGTTGGATTTTTCTACCATTTTAAAGCGTCATCTTGTGTGTTTGTATCTGTATTTCATTATGTTATCCATATTAGGTTTTGAAAGGTCATTGTTTGTTCAATTTATGTCTAACCTTTTGTCTACTTTTGATCCTTGACTGGTTCTTTGGTTTTTCTCCTCCAGATTGTTTAGGTAGGCGGTTGGGACCGAGGCTTCTTGGTAGGGTTGATGATTCAACGGTAAATAATTGTGCTCAAATAGGTTTCTGATTACATTACGATATCTACTGAAGTTTTGGTTAAATAACTATATCTGAACCCTTTTGTGGTGACTATATTGGTGCAGCAGAGACTAGTTAGAGATTTTTACAAGATACTTAACGAAGTAAAGACTGGGGATATTCCATCTGCTCTAAAGCTTCCAGATTCATTTGATCAACTGGTTTCTGATATGAGGAACAATCAATATGATGCAAAAACGTTTGCATTAATGTTAAGGGGAATGGTAAGTCTCTTGTTACACTTTTATAAAGTATCACATATTTATTTATTAATTGGTATCAAGTACAGAAAGGTTACCCACTAAGGTCAGCCTAGTCGTGGGGGGTTTTGGGTAGCTTGCATGAGATCTTAGATTCTATCTTTGTTGTTGTCATTGTACAACATAAGAAAAGTAGAGAACAGGTTATCTGAAATTGAATTCTGTTGATGTTTTCAAATCTAAGTTATTTACTCAAATTGAAAACATACATTTTAGGCATTACTAAAAATCGAATATCACAAGGTTGAGGTTGGGATAACTGATGTGCTATATATGAATGGTGGTTAAAAGAATGTTTACAATAAAGACACATTGTCTGCTGATACAATGATTCAGCTTATGACATCCCTATATTTCCTCCTTTTTGTATATTCATTTGAACATGCAAGACAATGTAGTCTGGTTTTGGGATTTAGCTCCTCTAAAGTGTGGAGGATAAAATTTAGAGTATAAAGTGCAGTTAAAACCGCTGATTAGAAAATCAGAGATTAAGATTTCTAATCAATGATTCTTGCTGCATTTTATCCACTTGTGTACTGTGTTTTAGTATAGTAGCATTTACACTAAAAGGCTTATACTCTGCTGCCTATTACTCTGATGCAATCTCATAATAAAGTCAATCAGGAATGCTTCAAGATTATGTAGATTGCTTTGGTCATCATCTTCTGTGAAATTCAATTTTTAGTTTGGTTCTGTTATGCAAAGTATTGTGATTATGCTTACTTTCAGTCTTCCATTATCTGGATTTTAGGAAACTGGAGATCGTTTCGTTTTGTATGTCATACAATAAATAATACTTTTTTATTATGGTAGTGTGGTTTATTATAAACTTATTTTAAGATGCTGGACAAACAATCATAAGTCATCATATAAACAAGACAATAATAAGAGTACCTTTTGGATGATTTGCCAAATGCAAAATTGCTTGTTCCTTTTGTATTTTTTGGAATAGTGACTAAAAAGGTGCAAATTTCATAGCGTGGCTTAACAGGCAAGTACCATGGTGGTTGCACTTATCTGAAATTTCAAGTTGTTTATATAACTCAGAAATCTAAGGCTTATCTTGAAATCATTTTACATTACTATTTTACTTTTTGGTTTGCCTGTCACAACTTTATGTTTTTATTCATTTTTCCTTTCTTTGTTTAAACTTTAAACATTCTTTTCATTTCAACTATGTAGAACTATTGAATATTTAATGCTATTTATCTTTGGTTGGTAGTATTTTTTGAGGTCTTCATACTCTCGTCACAAATATATATTATGCAGTACTTTGTATCATTATTGTGTTCATCTTGATTTCGGTTTACAGCCCTAATTATTCATGAACGATAGCCATTGCTTTATGGCTTATGCTAGGAGTTTGAGAAATTAGTGTGTATATGTAAGACTATTATGAATGCAAAGACAGTGTGTATATCTTTGGTTTATTATCACATAGTATTGTCACATTTATTATGATAACCATTGCAATGTTTCTTTGAACAGATGGAGAAATTTGAGAGAGAAATCAGACAATCTAAATTTTCAGAGCTGATGAATAAACACTTTGCAGCAAGTTCAATCCCTAAAGGAATTCATTGTCTGTCTTTGCGTTTGACCGATGAATATTCGTCAAATGCTCATGCCCGCAAACAGCTGCCTCCTCCAGAGTTACTACCCACACTGTCTGACAACTCTTACCATCATTTTATTGTTTCAACTGATAACATCTTGGCTGCTTCAGTAGTTGTTACTTCTACTGTGCAGTCATCTCAGAAACCTGAGAATATAGTCTTCCATGTCATCACTGACAAAAAAACTTATGCTGGTATGCACTCATGGTTTGCACTAAATCCTGCCTCTCCTGCTATAGTTGAAGTTAGAGGCATTCACCAGTTTGACTGGTTGACTAGAGAAAATGTTCCAGTGCTTGAAGCCGTAGAAAATCAAAATGGGATCAGGAATTACTACCATGGGAATCATTTTTCTGAAACCAATCTCAGTGATACCAATCCACGTAAATTTGCCTCAACATTGCAGGCTAGAAGTCCAAAGTATATATCTTTACTCAATCATCTCCGCATTTACATACCTGAGGTAAGTTGGATTCAACAACTATCACTCTTTCTGTCTTTCTCAATCTGGCTATTCTCTCTCTCTAAATATTGGTGAAATTGAAACTTTTCAGGTCATAATTCACCAAAAAAACTGGGAATAATGCATTTTTATTAGGTTTGGCAAAGAATCTTATATTGTATGTGATTTTTATATTTTATAGTATATAGTGAGTGAATGAAACTTGAAATGAATGACTGACCTAAGACCTTAGAAGTTAGAACATGGCTTCTATACTGGCTCACTCCAAGCTAAACATTATCTGTAAATAAATTCTGCATTTTAAGCTCATAAAAGCTTCTTAACTGAATTTGTAGTGGCAAAAGTGGCTTATCAGTACTGAAGATCTCTGAATTCTCACAAATTACAATAATTAAAGAAAGTGGTGTTTTATGGAATATTTACATTGTTTTCATTAGCATTTAGCACTTATGTACCAATCTTATGAGCTAATTTGACACAGGAACATTTTACATTTTGGAGAAAATTTTCCTTCTCTTGTTTGTGCTGATTGTGTTTGCCTTGTGTGTTGAACAGCTTTTCCCAAACCTTGACAAGGTGGTTTTTTTGGATGATGATGTTGTGGTTCAACGTGACTTGTCTCCGCTTTGGGAAATTGATCTGAATGGAAAAGTTAATGGAGCCGTGGAAACTTGCAGAGGTGAAGATGAGTGGGTAATGTCTAAGCATTTTAGGAACTACTTCAATTTTTCCCACCCGCTCATTGCACAGCATTTGGACCCTGATGAGTGTGCTTGGGCTTATGGGATGAATGTATTTGATTTGCGTATGTGGAGAGCAACAAACATAAGAGAGACATATCATACCTGGCTGAAAGAGGTAAGGCCCGTATATACTCAAACTAATACAATCCATTTATTCATCAATAATTTAAAGTTCTAGCAAATTCTGAATTTTAAATTAATGACGTGTTATTGGTTCAAATAGGCACATGCATACATATATTACATATATAATCATATATATTGAATAAACCATCAATTTCATCCTCAAATTATTATCATCTCTCCCGAGTGATTTAAAGTATGAAAATTATTTTTAATCCTTGAAATATTGAATATTCCTCTTTAATCCATAAGTTGATGTATTTCAGTAAATTTTAGGGACCAATTTGAAGTTTTTTTTTTTTTTTTTTTTTAATATTTGAGGTACTTGGGCACAATTTCTAACACTAGATTGACTACCAAAGTAGTTAATTTTTACTTTGAGGACCTCTTAGGAAAGTTAATTCTTCAATGATGAAATTGGTGGTTTACTTTGTATGTTTGTGTGCACATATACACGTGTGTTTATGTATGTGTTACGTGATATTATGAGAACAGTGTGACATTTAGTTTCTTATTTTCTATTCTGTATGGCAGAATCTGAAGTCAAACCTGACGATGTGGAAGCTTGGAACCCTACCCCCGGCTTTGATTGCATTCAAAGGTCATATTCACCCAATTGACCCCTCTTGGCACATGCTTGGCTTGGGTTATCAGAACAAAACTGATGTTGAGAGTGTGAAGCAGGCTGCTGTTATTCATTACAACGGCCAGTCGAAACCATGGTTGCAAATTGGCTTTGAACATCTTAGGCCATTTTGGACCAAGTATATCAATTATTCAAATGATTTTGTTAGGAACTGTCACATATTAGATTCATAGTCTGCCATGAGATGCACAATGGTTTGAAGTGCATGCATATACTACGAAAGGGGCGAGTAAATAGAGGTTTCATCTAAATTTTTGCGGCTTGAGGTTTTCTTCAAGATGAATTTGAGAAGGCAATAGAAAATTGGTTTGAGAGGGCAAAGTGATGAGGACATGGTGGGTGGATTTGCTGCCACCCCCTACATTTTTGCACACACAGTTGCCATCATGGCATGGCTTTGAGAATCAAACAGTCTTGTGACTTTGAAACACGTCCTATATTTTTGGTTGGTGAAAGGATACTATTATTGGTCTTATGTGGGGCTACTATATCAAAAATTCCTTAGTGAATGTTGGAGAATAAACTAAATGCTGAAGATAGAAAAGGTCATGGTCATGTGCCTGTGTCATCATACTAGTTTGTTGTTGAGAACACAAGTGCTAGGACAGTTAATTTGTGAGGTTCCCCCACTAGTGCAGTGTTTTCCCCCATCATTTTTTAGTTTGTTAATTTTTGTTAGCACCAATTTTTACATTCACCCCATTGGATTTGCTATCATGATGGTGAATTGTAGGAACAGTAGTTCATGAGATTGCTTTGTTACAGGTCCATTGAATTGGGGAACTGTCTGTAGGATATATCTATATATCTATATATTGTTATTCGTTGTGTACGATTACCAGACATTGGAAATGTGCAGATAATTCTTTTTTCCTCGTCTCCATTCGTGTAATTCCTATAGTCATCTCTGCCCCTCACGCATTCACAAGTTGATACTAAGAAAAAACAAACAAAAATTAATAGAAAGAATAAATAATATATGCATTAAGAGTGTAAAGATATTTTACATTGTTGTGAAATCTCAAATTGTGATGTATATTAAATTTATTGACTTTTATGATAACTATTTTAAAAAATTTATTAAGGATGATTTCTGATTTATTGATCATATAATTTTTTTTATACCAACATCGCATATCAATTAAACTCAAAAATTCAAATTTATGGTAATAGAAGCTTTTCTTTTTTCAGTTGTATTAGGACCAATGTTTAATGAATAAGAAAGTGAAAAGATTTTATTACGAAAGGAAGATTTATTACATTTGAAATGTATGTTATTTATATGCTAGTTTTCTTACTTTGTTTGATGCTTGTCTGGATTTTAGTGCTTACGGAATTGTTCTCATGTACCAAACCATTTGTATCGAATAGACTTTATGTATATTTAGTTGATAATATTTAATGCTCATTGTTTTAAAACTGAACTTTTCTTGCATTTTCTAATAATCATTGGACCAATGTCTATTCAGTTTGCCTTTTAAACATTATCACAATCTTTTTAGCTTCTTTCTTGCACTGTCTTCTGTTTTATTTCTCTTCTCTTTATTTGATTACTTATCTGTTTTCTTTTACTTTTGTGGTAAAAAAAATTTCAACAGTAAATTGATAACAACATTGATATACATAGATTTTGAAGCTATGACTAGGGTTGATTTTGATTTATTCCCCTTGTTCACACAAGTCCAAAAGTACCAATGGTAACGAGATTCTACATGATCTTTAGATCGTTAACTTTAACGTACATTAAGTATTAACCAAATAAAAAAGAAGAATATAAAAGAAGGATTTTGCAAAGTTGGTGATGACGTGAATTCCATTTACAACTATTCCCCTTTAATGATCCCTTCAAAGTGCGTGAAGGATCTTATCTTATTTTTTAAGACGTTTAAAATCAAAGTATGGACCTACCAACCCTTTTTCGCATTTTCTTTACTCATGCTAGTTGACAAGTATTTTGGTTGCATGATTAAAAATTAACAAGTGTCATTTAGTTTTGTTTTGTGTAGGAAAAGACTAATCTTCTAAATATTATAAAGAATCTTTAAATATCGAGACATAACTAGTAAATAATTGAATCTCTTAGATATGTTGTTTGAAGTTCAGTTTTTGATTACATAAATGGAAAATATTTTAATATAAAAGATAAAACTTAATTGAGTGACTTCTAAATCTTGAAAGAAAATAATTTTTAACTATAGATGAAATAATATTTTGGTGAAAAAATTAAAATAAAGAATCTTCAAACACTCATTTCAGGTTGTACAATGATAATAACAAAGATAGAATCTAACATCATATACAATCAACCAAAACCTCACTACTAAGCTAACTAGTTGTTCTCAAACACATTTTAGAAAAATGTTTAACATGCAAAAACTAAAGAAAATGCTAAACAATATTAGCATTCATTTAACTATTTTTCTAAGTTGAGGTCCTACATATATGGTTGTTCAGAATTTATATTATTAGTCATCGTCATACCTTGAATGGGTTTGTTAGCACATCAAGTTTAGGAGTTTGAATAACAGCTCCATCACAATGGACAATAATATTGGCTGCTAAGGCTGTTGGTGTCTCTTTGTGACCCATTTTAAAGAGTTATGGTTTTAGTTTTTCTCTTTCATATACGTAATACTTATACGACAATCATGTGGCAAATTGACTACTAGAGATATTATATATATATATATTAGCATATTTTTATTTTAAAAATGTATTTTTTTTAAAAATTTAATAGGAATTTTATTGTTTTTAGTCTTGAAACGTTACAAAGAAAATGTATTTAAGGAAGTATAATCGAATCGTCTTTATAAAATGTAAAGATTAAAAATATAATATTTTCAAGAAAAAATAATTGAATATATTTTATAAGAGAAATTTTTATATAAATATGAACTATCTGTGAGAGAGCATTTTTTATGAGAATGTTAGTAAGTCTTAATCATTTTATTATATTGCATTTTACAAAAAGTTACGAGAGTAAATGTAAAAAGATTAAAAATTGTAAAAAAAAAAAAAAAAGATTTTAGATATGTTTTTGTTTTACCTTGTACCGGTATAACGAATTCATGCTAGTTTTGATTTAAAGTAAGATTGTTGCATTGACCTGGCTGGCTATAGAAGAAACGGTAGGAAAAAAGGATGGTAAGTTCGCAGATGTTAAGAATGTGCGTGCGAGTGACATGTTCTTTGATTGAGCCTTTTCAACAGTTTCTGACACCGAAATTCAGCCAAAAGTTGACCCTCTTCGCATGAATAATGAGAAAGAATAATACGTTCCTCAAATTAACACAACAACAATTGAAAACCTCCTACACACCCTTCTCCTCTCATGCTTCCTTTCCTGTGATTTCCTAAACACCATCCATTTCTCTGATTGATGCAATCGCCAACCAGATCAGTGATTCACCCAATTTATAAAATCCTTCAAAGTTCTCTTTTTTGGATTTCTTGCTGGTTTTGCTGGTGGCCCAGTTGGGATTTCAAGATGGTTCTGTGATTTAACAAGTGCCCTCTTGAGTATGGATTTGTTTTTGGCTTGTGGCTTGTGGCTGTTCTAGAAAGATTCCTTTGTCAGTGTGTTGAATTCTGTTATCATGTTTATTGTTTCCGTTTAAGTATTGCTTTTTTGTTGGATTTCTATCATTATATTCTGTTATTTGTCTTTTATTCATGCTCTTGTGCATGGATTTTAAAATCTATATATTTCATACCTCTTCATGGTTTCCTTTTCCATTATTATCTAGTATACCATTTGAATTTGAGATTTTGAATACTGTTTGGGTATTGAGTGTCACTTGAGAGGAGTGAGGACTAATCCTTTTTCTTTTGTATCAAATTTTGCAGAATACTACTCCAGTGAGATACTTTGATTTAATCCCCTTTGTTCATGGTTGAAAAGTGAAAACTCAATTGAAGTGATTCACTGGACTATTTCATTCTCTTGGTCTGAGGTTGAAGCTATTTGATTTCTGATTACACAAGTTTCTTAATCTCGGAGTATGGCTGGGAGCCAAGATCAGTTAGAAATCAAGTTTCGGTTGAGTGATGGTACGGATATTGGCCCCAAAAGTTATGCTGCTGCTACTAGTATTGCAACACTGAAAGAAAGTATTCTTGCTCAATGGCCAAAAGGTTAGTTGTGTGTCTTCTTTCTTCTTTTGAATCGTTTTTGGTCCTCCTATCAAGGTATGTCTAGATAAATTTCTCCTTAAACACTAGTAACAAATCCAAAGGAAAAATGAAATAAGTTTTTCTATAAGTTAAAATTAACTTATGTATAAATAAGTTCTTTCATATTAACTTTACCAAAAACTTATTTTAACTTTTACATTAACTAATTTTAGCTTATGAAAAAATTTATTTCTTTTTTTTTTCTTTTTTCTTAGAAGTACTTATAAAAGAGTTTATCCAAACAGTCTCTAACACTAAGATGTTAATGTCAGAAGACTTGGAACGTGTTGTATTATTCCTGTTTGTTATTTTCTTTTGGTGGTTTGTTCCTAATTGTTATTTGTCATGATGAACTCTGTATAAGAAAGACTGCTGGTTAGATAAAGTGAAAAAATGGAGGCACAGGACCCTTGATGTGAATATATTGATTTGCAGAAAGGAAATATTGAGGCAGTAGAAGTCAATAAGTCATGATTCATTTGATTTAGGTATATAGTTATTACTTGTAAGGTTTGGGCGCATATCATGCTTGTGATGAGAATTGAGAGCAAAGAATGAACTATATGTCGGTTATAACAAAAACAAGAAGAAATTTCCAGTTAATGAAATCTTGTGACCTTCATTTTATGTCAGAGATATGCTGTCCTGCTGATCCTTCTGAACATGCATGTTGAGTATGTCTATGTTGTGCTATGGTTTAGTTATCTCCCCTTTTTCCTTCAAAAAAAGAGGCTTTGCATTAATAGCATTAGCTTCGTAGAATCTAAGCAGACAAGATCCCGAATTTAGGCTTTAACTATAAAAGTGTGATATAATTGTTACACGTCTCTCAGTAAGTAGTTCCTTAAACTTAAACTCCTCTCTTATTCCATGTTGTCTGCTTGTTCCTCCATATAATAATGAAATTTTTATGTCATGGTAATTTATCAAAACCATAAGCTAAATTTTGAAGGGAAAAAAAACTGTAGTTTAAACCCATGACATTTGTAATTTCATAAGAGTATGATTGTAGCTAGGTGTTCATGAATTTCATTTAATGTGTGTTCTCATAATACTGACAACAAAGAAAATGACATGCATTAGCTGAAAAAACGTGATGATATTTTAACTGGAAATTGTGATATCATGCATTCAATGATATTTATTTTTATTTTTTAGTGATATATATGAGATTTATAAGTTTGTGTTTCTGTTTTGAAGATAATGAGTATGGTCCAAGAACTGTAAAAGATATGAAGTTAATTAGTGCCGGACAAATATTAGAGAACAACAGAACAGTGGGAGAATGTCAGAGTCCATTGTGTGATCTCCCTGGTGGAGTTACAACAATGCACGTGGTTGTGCAACCACCTTCTGTGGAGAAAGGTTACTATTCCTAATTACTATTCATTTTAAAGGCATGTCAAAAGTCTATTTTATTTGTATAAACATCTTTAAGATAAAATGTTCTTCTTTTAAAGTATGACACTGGACTGAGTTCAAGTTCTTTTCACTGTTTCTAGCTAAACATATTCTTTTCAAATTGTGAGTAGTGGTCTAATAACTGAATGGATTTCATTGGAAAAACACTTTGCTTGTAACAATGATAGTAGTTCACTTTACTCCATGTGCAAATTGATAAGTAAACTACTTGAATTAGAATTTGTTTGGAAGAGTTTATTTGCAATTTATTTGGACTAATCTTACGATATAAGTACTTGTGTAAGAGTCTATTTAGATAAAATTCTCTAGAAGTAATTCTACAAGAAAAAAATAAGAAGCCAAAATGAAATAAGTTTCTCCATTAGTTAATACGAGAGAATTTTTACAAATTAACTTATGAAAAAACTTATTTCATTATTCCTTATTTTTTTCTCCTAGAAATGTTTTTGAAGAAGTTTATCCAAACAACTCCCTGAGAAAGCTTACATAAATAACTTATAATATGTCCACAAGCTGTTTTCAGTTTATTTCAATAAGCTCTCCTCTCCATGATAACTTATGAAGACAACTTACAATTTATATGAAAACAATTAAACCCAATTTCCTCTTTAATTGTAGAAACAACTTATACATAGTGCTTATATGATAAACACTTAATAAGCTTTTAAGTTATTTATTCAAATAAGCCTAATTATAACTATTAAGGTCCACCTAATGGGTTCAGGTAATAAACATGAGATCATAGGTTCTAACTTCATTGCGACTATTGGACACAAAAAAAATATGACTACATATAAAACTTATACACTTAAGTGTGAACAGTTTTGAGTTCATTTGGTTCTGGTGCTTTATCTGATTCATTTTCTTGACATTCTGGTCTTTTTCTCTTGCAACAGATAAGAAAGTAGCAAGCGAAGCAAAGATGAGCAAATGTGTTTGTGTGATATTGTAGTGTCCGGATTGAATTGAAGATGTCATCTTTTTAGATGGTAGAAAGCTACACTTGTATTCATTTTAAAAGTAATCTAAGGCTTTTAAAAGATTTGCTCATATACAAACTCTTTGGTTGCATGCCTCATCATGAGTACAACAGGTAAAGAGTTTTTGGGTTGTGAAGACAGTTTTTCTTGGTTTCTCTTTTTTCATAGATCTTTTTTGTTCTGGTCTCTGCATCTAGTTGTTGCCTCATTGTCCAATTGGTATAAATGCCGATTGAGACGAACTCTAAAATTATACTCCTGCTTCAGCTTGATGGCTGATGCAAAATGCTTCTAGAGATGAACCTGTTGAAATATGAAAATGTGCTTTAATTTACTTAATGTCTCTTTATGTGGTACTGTAAATAGTCTCAAAAGTCAAACGAGTCCTATTATGATAACTTGTAATAGTGTCTCACTTTAGTAGATCACCCCATAAAAAATTTATGTCTATACATAGCCCTAATATTCTTTATATTAAACTTGGGAAAAAAATTAGATGAGATCATGTACTACTAATATGTATTTTTGTTTATACATGAGTGTAGATGGAATAAAATAAACCATCCTAGTAACCGACTGCAGACAAAATAAACTCAATTTATCAATCTCAGACAAAAGTATAAAATAAATATACATAGCTGGACTCTAGAATGGCTTGGAACTTGGGTGTTAATTAGTATAATCCATCAGGCTGGCTACCATTACAAATTTTGGGGACAAAACAAAATTCACAGGCTTCAAGGGCTACTTCATCATCTGTGTCCTTGTTGACTTGTGACATGTATTCAGATCTGTTTGAATATAAGTTAGATATATTTTTAACAATTTTTTTAATGAGAAAAACTCCTTATTTTCAATAGAAAATATTTTAAAAAACACTTTTAAATTTGTATCCAAAGAGATTCTGAGTTACATTTGTTACATGTGGTTCCAAGAATGATGGACAAACTTCAATTAGTTGGACAAATGCCGCGCTTCAGCAGAAAAGAGTGTAAGATGAGAGATGTTTCGGGGAAAAGAGAAAAAAATAACCAAAAAGAAATTAGAAGAGATCAAGTAGTTAAGGTGAAAGAAAAAAAAGTAAATGAGGAGTAAAATAGTCTTAAATAAAAAAAATAAAAAAAAAAAGACTAAAACAGTAATAAAAAGTTATGGCTCTTTTATATATAGTATAAATTTTTTTAAAAATAAAAATAAAATAGAAAAATAATATAGTAAATAGTCATTAAAAAGAGTGAGTAAAATGTTTTACGAAAAAGAGAAGAAAAAAAAAACTAAACAGAAATCGGAAGAAATCATATTGTTACAGTGAAAAATAAAATTAAATAAATAAATAAGGGATAAAACAGTTAGAAGTCAATATCAAACAGCAGTTACAAAAAGTTGTATCCTCTCCTCTTTATAGAGCCTCTATTTCTTTTTCATAAAAAAAAAAAAAAAAATTGGAAGTAATTGTATAAGAATTATAAAAAAAAATGAGAAGACAGAAGAAAAAAAATTGTGTGAATAACGAAATTTTTTTATTTACAATAAAAATGTAATTGGCAGTTACTTAAAGAAGTTAAAGACCAAAACCTAAAAATAAAAGTTTAGATATAAATAAATAAATTTATTTTTTAAGAAAATTGTGAAAGAGAATACGGTCTCATAAAAATGGGGATCAAAAATATTTGGGAAAGAAGCTATTCATTTTATCTATTATTATAAATAATACCATAAATAGACACTTCTTACTTCTATGTAATTTTAAGAAAATAAAAATAAATAAAAAATAAAATTAATTAAGGTTGAATGACAGTTAACATTTAATAATTAAAACATTTGAGTGAGTTTTAGGTAGAGCTGTCAAAACGGGTTATCGGCTCGGCCCACTACGAGGTGACCATTTGGTAGGTCAACCCAACCTGACTCATTTATCAGTGAGCTCAAAAAAATCAAACCCAGCCCGGCCCACCACGGGTTGGTGGGTTAAACGGGTTGGCTCACCTTTAAAAAAAATAATCTTTTCCATATTTTTTTTAATATACAACTAAAGCCCAAAAATTTAAACCTATTTTAAAAATCTGAGATTCTTAATTAAAACATCCATAAATGAATCATTCATCCCAAACATTAAATGATAATTTTAAATACAATCAAATCAAATCTAAATAATCTCAAATAGATAAATATAATCCAAAATCATCTTAAACTTTAAATATAATCCAAATTCATCTTAAACTTCAAATACAATCCAAAATCATAAAAATTACAAATCACAATTCAACATTAAATCATTATTGTCTCATGTTAGGTTGCACTATGGCCCATAATTATTGTATTTTTTTTTAAATTTAATCACGGGTTGGTGGGCCAGCCCGGCTCACCACGGGTTTAACCCGGGTGAACTGGGTTGTTAGTGACCCGGGTTCAAATTTGACCTGTATTAAAATTTTCAAAATTTTTTCAACCCAACCCGGCTCGAACCCATGGTGGGCCGGGTTGGCTCACCGGGCTCTTAACTAATAGTAGTTAGTTGATTAGCTTAGTTAGATAATTAACCATGATGGATAACAGCTAGTTAGGTTGTATATAAAGATATGATGACTACCTTTGTATATATCATATTATTCATAATCAAATCAAGAAACTGTTTCTTCTCTATACTCTCTTTTCTTTTCAGATTCTTTGAGTCTCCTTTCTTTCGTTCATGGATTTTGCCATTGTTAAGATGGTATCAGAGCTCTTCAATTGAAGAGCTCTACTGCGCTCTCTCTCTCATATCCTTCTTGTTCCTTCGTCCATTCAACTGCATGGTCCAATTGAATCATGGATGAGAAAAACGATAAACAAGAAGTCCAGATTTCATCCCAATCAGATCCATCATTAAACGTACACAGTCCATATTACCTGCACCTAGGGGAAAACCCTGCGATTGCTTTGGTCTCACCGGTTCTTGATTCAAGTAACTATAATTCTTGTAGTAGGTTAATGATCACAGCCTTGAGTGCGAAAAATAAATCAGAGTTCGTTGATGGCACAATTCGACGTCCGACGCCGGATCATTCTTTGTACTCTACTTGGAAGCGATGCAACAATATGGTAGTGTCTTGGTTAGTGCATTCTATATCTCCGCCGATCCGACAAAGCGTGCTTTGGATGGATGATGCAAGGGATATTTGGAAAGACCTGAAATCGAGATATTCACAAGGAGACTTGTTACGAATTTCAGACCTACAGCAACAAATGGCTTCTATTAGACAAGGTGGCAGATTTGTATCTGAATATTTTACAAAACTAAGAGTGATTTGGGATGAAGTTGAAAGTTAGAGACCTGACCCTAAATGTGAGTGTAAGAATAAATGTGTTTGTGATGCTTTAAAAACTGTTATGGAAAGAAAACAATAGGATCATGTTATGCAATTTCTTAGGGGCTTGAACGAATCCTTTAGCAATGTTAGATCCAATATCTTGATGATGGATCTATTGCCTTCGATTAGCAAAGTTTTCTCATATGTTGTTCAACAGGAGAGACAGATTAATAATAGTGATGCAAATTTGTTTAATCATGAGAATACTTCAAGTTCTATAAATGCAGCGTCATCTAATAGTTCTAAAACGACTTGCACATATTGTGGGAAAGACTATCATATTGAGGCAAATTGTTACAGGAAACATGGATTCCCTCCAAATCTTGGTTTCGCTAGAGGTGGTAGAGGAGGATGCAGAGGTAATTCTAGTAGAGGGGGGGCAAATGGTAGTATTTTACGTGGCAAAGTGTGCACACATTGTGGAAACGCTGGACATACAGTTGATGATTGTTATAAGAAACATGGTTATCCCCCAGGCCATAAATTTCAAAAATTTGGTTCTGCTGTTAATAACACTGTGAAGGAAGAATTAATGGTTGCAGGTTCTAGTAACTCGAAACAAGAAAGTCCAATGGCAGATGTCAAGTTGACCGTTCAACAATATCAACAACTAATGAATATGTTACATTCACAAGGCAGCAATTCTGCTTCAAGCACTTCTCACATAAACCAAATTTTTGGGTCACAAACAGGTAATCGTACACTTACATTTACTTGTAATGTGAGTAAACAAGATAATTGTTCATGGATCTTGGATTCCGGAGCCACTGATCATTTGGCTTCTTCATTACATTTATACTCGAAATATAGGAAGATTAATCCCATTCTAGTGAAATTGCCCAATGGTCACCAAGTTCAAGCAACACATGTTGGCACTATATGTTTTTTTGATGAATTTTACCTCGATGATGTTCTCTATCTACCATGTTTTCAGTTCAATTTATTATCGGTTTCTAAGCTTGTACTTTTCTACCATGTAAATTGATTTTTGCCTCCAATAAGTGTGTCATACAAGATTTACACAACCAGAGGATGATTGGTATAGTTGAAGCTGCTAAGGGGTTGTACAGGCTGGATCGACTTCCTCTTCAGCCATCAAATACTAATTCCAATTTAGTAGCATCTATTTGTAAAAAGTCTTTTCTCACATGTAATAAATTTCCACCTGACATCTAGCATTACAGACTAGGACACCCCTCAATTGAAAGGATGCAAATATTGAAACACTTTTTCCCAGTATTGATTTTGACAAAAACTTTGTATGTGATACTTGCCACTATGCTAAACAGAAACAAATTTCTTTTTCTAACAACGATTCGAGGTCTGTTTCCTCATTTGATTTGATTCATGTTGATATTTGGGGCCCTTGTAATGTTTCCTCAATGCATGGTCACAAGTATTTTTTAACTATAGTGGATGATTGCACACGATTTGTTTGGATTTTCTTAATGTGCTCTAAGGCCGAGACACAATCCCTTTTAAGGAAATTCATTATGAATGTTGAAAAACAATTTGGGCTACAAGTTAAGAAGATCCGATCTGATAATGGGTCTGAGTTTATAATGAGAAGCTTCTATGAGGAAACAAGAATTATTCACCAAATCTCCTGTGTGGAAATACCACAGCAAAATGGCGTTGTTGAACGAAAACATCAACATCTTTTAAATGTCACTAGAATATCTTTATTGTTTCAAGCCCATCTCCCACCAATTTTTTGGTCATATGCCTTACTACATGCTTCACTTCTCATAAACTGCATGCCAACTCCATTCCTTGGTAATATTTCTCCCTTTGAAAAGCTCCATCATAAACCATATGATCTCTCTGTTTTAAGGGTATTTGGATGCTTGTGCTATACCAGCACTTTGACAATTAACAAGAAGAAGCTTGATCCTCGGGCTGTCTCATCTATTTTCCTTAGATTTAAATCCAACACAAAAGGTTATATTACATTTGATCTTAACTCCAGATCCTTCAATATCTCTAGAAACGTAATTTTCTATGAGACTTGTTTTCCTTACACGGCTGAAAACAAACCTGAATCCTTTGATGTCTTGCCACTACCTCAAACAATTGTTATATCGTTCACCATTGAAAATATAGTCTCTCCTACACCAAGTAATAATACTCATTCTCCTATGGCTAAACCTAGTATTACCCCTGACACACCTATTACTAATGACACTATCATCCTAAGAAGATCATCCAGACAATCCCATAGACCCATCAAATTCAAAGATTTTCACACCTTTTTCCTATCATCAACATCTTCTCAAAAATCATGAAAGCAATATGTGTTTTCTTATATGTTTCTTATATGTTTAACCATATCACTCATAATCATCCAATTATAATTTGATTATGATTTGTACATGAATAATAGAATTTAATGATAATACCATAATTTATTTTCTTAATTTTTATGATACAATATTTATAGGGAGAATAATTCTCCTAATTTATAGCAGTATTTATTTTCCTTAAAGTTAGTTAAACAATGATATAAATATATTTTTATTAAATAATATTTTAGATTATTTTATTATAATCATTATAACGAGAAAGATTCACTTTTTTTATATGTTAATTTGTTTTATTATGAGTTTATATACCAAATTATTTATTTTCTAAAATTAACTTGATTTATTTATACGTAAACACTAAAGAGATGATTTTTTTCAAAAGAATATATGATTATGTTGCATGATTGCTAGTAATTAATTTTAATGT